ACATGGGCTTTGAGGTCAAACAACACCAGGTCAACCTGTGCCCAGTGTCCGGCCAGTCAGGGAGCCTGTCGCAGTCTCTGCTTGCTCAGCTGGGAAGACGGGACCGACGCCGTAGGGCAGTGGCAAACAGAGCTAACCGGCATTTGGCATTCAAACACAGCAGCAGTTGCAACCCAACTGCCCATCAACAGGCAAACGAAGAAACAAAATGTCGTCTACACGTACAGTAGGATATTATTCAGTCTTAAAGAGGAAGGGAATTCTGACGTGTGCTACACTGTGAGTGGCACATGCTGGGTGAAATAAACCAGACACAAGAGGACAAATACTGTATAATTCGGCTTACATTAGTCAAATTCGTAGACACAGGAAGCAGAACGGGGGTTGCCAGGGTCTGGGGGAGGAGCAAGGGGGCAGTTAGTATTTAGTGGGGACAGAGTTTCAGTTCTGCAAGACGAAGAGTTCTGGAGCTGGACAGTGGGAAGAATGGCCCCACAGCAACGGGAATGCCCATAAGGCCACAGCACTGCACACCGAAAATGGTAAATTTATATCAGGGGCATTTCACAATTTAAAAACAAATGAAGAAAATAATTTAAATGAGTTCAATCCCATTGATAAATACTCTAACTGAAGTTTGATCAAAACATAATTTATAGTGAAACTACTACTTCCCTTTTTCTAGCTCCTATAATTACACTAACACAACTTTTTAAAAAAGTGGCCTTTTTCAAAGTTCTGTCTGGAGGAAACCTGGGGAGCCCCGAGGCCAGCCTGCCACCTGACCTCACTCTCATGCTCTCGGAGGCAACTGTGCGGTCTCCCGAAGGTTCCGTGTGCACTCCTGCACAGGCTGACTGCAGAAGCCACACAGACGACCAGCTGAATCTATTAAGCCAAACATAAAAGGGATCTGAAAAATGTAACGCAATGCTACTCACTCACTCAACTGTGTCAGGAAAGGAAAGTTTGTTTAAAAAAATAAAAAATGTTATGTACACTAACATGGGCATGTTATTTTTAAATGAATTAATATCTTAAACTTTCAATTTCTTATCCTAAGATATTTAATTCAATATCTTAAACTTATTTCAAGTTTCTAGTAGAAACTTTCAATTTTTCTATCACAGATAGAGATATAATCCAAGTGAACTAAAACTCTGAAGTCCTTAGTGATTTTTAAGAGTGGAAGGGAGCCTGGACCAGGAAGTCTGAGAATCACTGCAGTAAAGGCACCCCGTGTGAGTGCGACAGACAAGACAGCCCCCTCCCTGTGGGCCGCTCCAGCAGTCCTTACTGGAACCAGCTGCCAGAGGTCTCTAATTCCCAGAGGATGGCTACCAGCCCAATACTGCCTGGGGAATGGCTGGGTTAGCTCCTGTCTTGGGGCTACAGTCTGGTTCTCAAGCTGTGCTTGCAGGACCAGCAGAGTCAGTGTCACCTAAGATCCTGTGAGAAATACGAATCCTTTGGCCCCAACAAAACCTACCCTATCAGGGCTCTGGGGCTGGAGTCCAGGAACCTAGCCTCCCACTCTATGACATCTGAGGATCACTGGGCTAGAGAACCTGAGCAGTCAAAGCTGGGAGGACCTCCTCGGGCAGTTAATGAGCAAATGAGTCACTTGGAGGACCTCGTTAAAGCGCAGATTCTCACTGGGTAGATGGCAGAGGGCCTGAGTCTGGATTTCCAGCAAGCTCCCAGGTGATGCTGGAGCTGCTACTCCCTGCTCCTCACCTGAAACACCAAGCCCATCTCGTCCAGCAGCTCTTAGCCTTTACCAAATTATTAAGGTTCTGATGAAAGTTAGGGACTCTTTCCCTGGAAAAATGTGTGCATACGTTAAATTCTGTGGGCAATTTCAAGATGTTCCAGACCTTGCAAAACTCACCTTAAGGATCACTGACAACTTTGTTAGAAACTCTCACCTCCCATGATATTTGTTCCCGGGTTAAACAACTTCTACAGGGAAATTCAGCCATTTGTCTCTCAGACTGGAACATCCTTCTCGCTCGTAACCACCCTTCCAAATCTTACTCATCATCCCAGGTCCAGTTCCAATGTTCTCCCCTTTAAGTGAGTCAAAACTAACTGTTTACTTACAGGCTCCCAGAATAGGCTGTCCCTCATTACAGTCCTTTATGCTGCCTCGTCCTCCTGGCCCTTGTCACCTGCCTGTCCTCCCAGGAATTGCTGAAGCCCTCAGATGTTGTTACTCATCTCTAGACCCTCGCCTGAAACTGTCACATAATTTCTATGCATAAATATTTGCTAGATGAAATAACAGCATTAATTCTTCACAAGTAACACTCATCAAAACATTTCGATGTTTAAACGTCATCTGTAATGCTCAATCCCTCACACATTACAGGGCACCTTTGCTTTGCAGCAGATGGAGTCTGCTTACAAAGATTCGATTCAAAAGGATGAAAAAGAGAAAAAGGAAAAAGGAGGTGGAAGAAAAAACAGTAGGCACAATACCCCCCGCCCTCCCTGTCCCTCTGGATGACCCACACGGGGCACCCGACAGTTGGGGCCAGGGTGTTGGGGTCCCCTTGGAACTGACACACAGACCATGGGGGCTGTGTTGGGGGAGAGGGGAGACGGGTGAGAAGCGACTAAGATGCGTGAGGCATTTAGGGTGATGGAAGAGAGCTGTGGGGCAGGGTCCCCTGGGAGGGGAGCTCTGGGCACGCAGAGGGCAGTGGGAAGGGGTGGGACTCTTGGGGTGGGGGCCAAGCAGAGGGAGAGATTGAGAACAAGGTCAGATAAGAGATGAGAGGGACCCAAACCCCAGCTTCCTAATTTTGTGGGGGACTCTGTTCCCTCTTCAATTCCCAAAGGCCAAGGACCTGCCACTCAAGAACCTAAAACTGGCATTCGCTCCTCTCCCTCTCACCAGATACTTCTCCATTGTGAGCCGTACCTGGCTGGGGCAAACACCTGGGAAAGGGTGACGGGCAGAGCATCACACCTGAGACCGGGCTTCCGACTTCTAGTCCAGCTGAAAGGATTTTCACGTGGCCACCTCTGATGGGGTGACGAACCTACAACGGTTTCCACTACTGCTGACACCAGCTGGGACCTGGGGCTTACTTTCCAGCCTTTGCACAAGGGTCTCTAGGTCATTCCGGTTCCACTCGCCCTGATCTCATTCCCAATATGTCAGCCTCTCACAGTCCCTACACTTCACCCTCACTGTCCCCCTCCTGTTGTCATCCTCCTGTTTCTTTCACAAGGGACACTGTCCCTTTTTTCTTTTCCCCATCCATTATGGGTCGAATAGTGTCTCCCAGAAATGCCTATGAAGTTCTGATCCCTAGTAGCTCAGAATGTAATGGTATTGGGAGGTAGGATCTTTAAAGAGGTCATTAAGTCGTTAGGGTGGGCCCTACTGCACTGTGACAGGTGTCCTTATAAGAAGAGGAAATCTGCCCTGGCTGGTGTGGCTCAGTGGATTGAGCACTGGCCTGTGAACCAAAGGGTCACCAGTTTGATTCCCAGCCAGGGCACATGCCTGGGTTGTAGGCCAGGTCTCCAATAGGGGGTGTGCAAGAGGCAACCACACATTGATGTTTCTCTCCCTCTCTTTCTCCCTCCCTTCCTCTCTCTAAAAATAAATAAATAAAATCTGTTAAAAGAAGGAAAATGGAAAGAACATTTTTTAAAAAGAAGAGGAAAAATGGACACACAGGCACAAGGAAGTACCATGTGAGGACAGTTCTAAAAGGAGACCATCTGTGAACAAAGCGGAGACTTCAGAAGAACCAAACATGCAGATACTTCAGTCTCTGACTTGCGGTCTCCAGAACAGCGAGATAATCCACATTGTTGCTTAAGCCCCCAGTCCATGGTATTTTGTTACGGCAGCCCTAACCAACTAACATACCGTTTAATCATACCCATCCTTCAAGACCAGGACTGCTTCAAACTAACTGAAGTCATTTTGATTCGGTCAGAGGCAAACTAACTGAAGCGCCTCTTCCCACACTCTGGGCTGTGGTCGGGCTGGACATGGGCTGCCAAGGAGGATGGATCCATTGAGCATCTTTTCATGATGTTTGTTGTTGGAGGTTCTGGTGTCTTTCTGAGTGAGTCGGGTGATTGCTGGAATCAAAGACTTCCTCTTTTGAGGTACCATCTTATCCATTCAGGTTGTTCTTAGAGAAAGGTTACTTGCCCAGTCGGAATAGGGGTGGTTGTGACCCCTGCTGGAAATGGTACTGCCTTTGAGCAGTGCTCTTGTGCTCTTCATTAATTAGTTTGATCCACTCTCCTCTCTTTCGAGTGCGAAGGAAAACTTTTATCCTTTCTGACCTACCCAGATGTAGCTGGACATTGGGGTCCAGAGCCCACAAATGAACAAGTAGCAGGTGCACCACAGCTGAGGTCAGCTGTGGGGCAGGCCAGTGACGCTGATTCATGATGCTGCTCCCAGTGAATCCCAGTGACATGTGGCAGTGATAACCCAGCACACATGTCACCTGAGCTCCAAGGGGCATCTAGGGTTTTGTGGCACATCAGGTGATACCTAGAAATGCCCCATATCTCCAAAGCACACCAGAGGTCACTGCAGGCCCTTCAGGGTCTGCTGATGCCTGTAATTACACACCTTACTTCTCCAGAAGTCAAGACACCTCCTGGCAAGAGGTCGGGAGCTGTCGCCAATGAGAGATGGGTTCTACCACCCTCCCAATCAGAGAACTAAGAGGCAGAAGCTCCAAACTAGCACTTAGCCCCCACTCCACAGTTTTGGGGGAGCAGGAGAAGCTGGGGTGCCATCACTCCCACTCCCATTCCCCTCACCACCCCAAATACACACACACAGAAATGTGTCATCACCCGGAAAGGAACAGCTGAGCTCCAGAGTTGGTCTCACCTGAGTCCGTCTGTAAAGTCATCCCCGACTAATGCCAGGGGGCAGAGACGCATCAAGTCAGTGAGGAGGAGGTGAGAGAACGGGGCAAGGAGAGCAATACCTTGCTGGGGCCCAAACTTACCGGTTCTTGGAAATAGAGCTGGTATTCAAAAACAGGGTTGGCTTTGATTTTCTCCATTAGGGGCACATTGGGGTCTGCCGGCTTAAAGGGAGTGTTCAGACTTGCCACGGCTCTATGGAAAGAAGAAGCACTGAGACATAGACCCAGAAGACGGGCTGCAAGAGCCAGACAGGACCTTCCATGTCAAACCAAGGCTGGAAGTGGGCACATGATGTGCACAGGCTCTCACCCAGCAGCATGTGGTAGGAGGGGATGCCCACTCAGACTTCCTCATGCCCAGCCCAGTGGTTTTTTCCCCCATCGAACTGCAGTGTTTCCCACTTGCCTTAGATGAAGACAGACAGACAACCCCCGCCCACATACATACTCTGCATGCAGTATATCAATTTTGATTAGGGTATGTGAACACAACAATCTCTCCTTGGTTTTTAGCGTTTTTTCCTTCCTTCCTTCACTCACTGCATCTCTTCTGTGCTGAGTATAATTCTACATTATATACAAGGGGAAAGTATAAAGTCAGCACTTAAGGAGCTTATCACAATTTAATAAGGAAGGCCATAAGAATAGCACAGAATACCACAGGTGTTCAAGGGGATAAGACGTTTCTGGATTTGGGCATCATGGAAGCCTGATGGAAATCTGAACTTGGTCCTGATCTTAGTGGAAAAGATTTTAGTTTTTGCCCATTGAGTAGACAAGGATGTCCACTTTCACCACTTCTATTCAATATAGTACTGGAAGTTTTAGCCGCAGCGATTAGGCAAGAAAAGGAAATAAAAGGCATCCAAATAGGAAAGGAGGAAACAAAACTGTCACTGTTTGCAGATGACATAATAGTGTACATGGAAAATCCTATAGACTCTACAAAAAAACTGCTTGAGCTAATTAATGAATTTGGCAAAACAGCAGGTTACAAAGTCAATATCCAGAAATCAAAGGCATTTTTGTATACCAACAACGAAACAGCAGAAGCAGAAATGAAGGAAAAAATCCCATTTGATATAGCAAAACAAAAATAAAATATCTGGGAATAAACCTAACTAAGGAGGTAAAGGACCTGTATGCAGAAAACTACACATCCCTGAAGAAAGAAATCAAGGAAGACACAAACAAATGGAAACATATACCTTGTTCATGGATTGGAAGAATTAACATCATCAAAATGTCCACACTACCCAAAGCAATTTACAGATTCAATGCAATACCTATTAAAGTACCAATGGCATATTTCACAGACATAGAACAAACACTTCAAAAATTTATATGGAACCATAAATGAGCCTGAATAGCAGCTGCTATTTTGAGAAAGAAGAACAAAGTAGGAGGAATCACAATACCTGATATCAAATTGTATTACAAGGCCACTGTAATCAAAACAGCCTGGTACTGGCATAAAAACAGGCACATAGACCAATGGAGCAGAACAGAGAGCCCAGAAATTAACCCAACTCTCTACAGTCAATCAATATTCGACAAAGGGGGCAATAACACAAAATGGAGTAAAGATAGCCTCTTCAGCAAATGGTGTTGGGAGAACTGGACAACTACATGCAAAAAAATGAAACTTGAGCACCAACTTACACCATACACCAAAATAAATTCAAAGTGGATAAACAATTTAAATATAAGCCTTGAAACCATTAAAGTCCTAGAGGAGAACATTGGCAGGAAAATCTCAGATATTTCACGCAGCAACATTTTTACTAATATGTCCCCTAGAGCAAGGAATACAAAGGAAGGAATAAGCAAATGGGATCTCATCAAAATAAAAAGTTTCTGCGTGGCTAAAGAAAACAGTATTAAATTAAAAAGACAACCAACTGTATGGGAAAACATATTTGCCAATGATACCTCAGACAAAGGTTTAATCTCCGAAATATACAAAGAACTTACACGACTCCACTCTAAGAAGACAACCAACCCAATTAAAAAATGGGAAAAGGACTTGAACAGACACTTCCCCAAGGAGGACATACAGAAGATCCAGAGACACATGAAGAAATGCTCAATATCACTAGCTATCAGAGAGATGCAAATTAAAACCACAATGAGATACCACTTTACACCGGTCGGAATGGCTATCATAAACAAAGCAACAAACAACAAATGTTGGAGAGGTTGTGGGGAAAAAGGGACCTTAGTTCACTGTTGGTGGGACTGCAGACTGGTACAACCATTATGGAAAACAGTATGGAATTTTCTCAGAAAAATAAAGATCGACCTGCCTTTTGATCCAGCAATTCCACTGCTAGGATTATATCCTAAGAACCCCAAAACATCAATTTCAAAGAACCTATGCACCACAATGTTCATAGCAGCACAATTTACAATAGCCAAGAGCTGGAAGCAAACTAGGTGCCTATCAGTAAATGAATGGATCAAAAAATTGAGGTACATATACACAATGGAATTCTATGCAGCAGAGAGAAAGAAGGAGCTCCTACCCTTTGCAACAACATGGATAGAACTGGAAAGCATTATGCTGAGTGAAATAAGCCAGGGGTTGAAAGACAAATACCATATGATCTCACCTTTAACAGTAAGCTAAACAACAAAACAGACAAGCAAGCAAAATAAAAACAAATACACTGAAATAGAGAACAGGGGGACAGTGACCAGAGGGGAGAGGGGAGGGAATTTAAGGGAAAAAAATGGGAGGGATTTAGAGGAACAAGTACAAAGGACACAGGGACAATAACTAAGGGGGGTGGAAATGGGAGGGAGGTGGGGTGCACGGGGGAGGGGTGGGCTGGGATGGGAGAAATAAACAGAAATCTGTACTTGAAAAATAACTAAATAAAAAAATTTAAAAACCTTAAAAAAATAAAAATAAAAGAAATCTGAACTTGGCATCTAATACAGTAAGTAGAGTAACCTTTTGGGGAACCCAATTATCAAGAACTGAGCTCTTGTTTTGCTTTTGAATGAGAGAGGATACAGGGAGAAAAGCTAAAGAGATTAGAAGAGTGTGGACAAATTTTAAGATATTTTAGAAAATGTTTGATTCTTCTTAGTGCTTGATACCGTTCCACCATTTGAGCTGTACCAAGTTCTCCAGTGTTTCCACTGTTATAAACTTAGTCAAATAAAAAGTAGCTCAAGCAGTCAGGGAAATACAGATGGCTGCTAAGAGTAATGTTTATTTAATTTGCTAAGACCCCAGGCTGAAATGGGAGGTCAGTCAAGTTCTAGTTTTGGTCGCCAGTGCAAACGGAGTACAGCTGCAAAAACACACCTCTCTGGGCGCCAGATCTGCCATCTGAAGTCCCTGCTGGTGCTCCAAAATGCCCTTCTAAGAATGACTGTGCCTTACGTGAGGATGATCGTGAAATGTGTGCTAACCTGACATCTGTACGCCGTGTGCAGGTTACGTAGTCGGGTAGGAGTTCACAGCACCACTTTGTGGTTGAGGAAACCAAGGCCTCAGTGGGTGACGTGCTCATTGAGGGCAAAACTGGAAGCCACATTTTCCAGTCCTGACTCTCCGTCCAGGACTAGTCTCTCCTGGTGCTTAATTCTATCAACCCAGCACCCCCGCTGCTTCCTCCCACTCCCCTCAAAGTCTACGGTGATTCTCCTGCATGGCCACTGAATTCTCAGTCCCTGAATTATTTGTCACACTACCAGTAACCAGGGCAGGCCTCACTTTCTAAGACATTAGCTCACCAAGTCCTCCTTGTTGGTGTGCCAATGCGCACTGAGGACTTATGGGGGCACCTTCCCAGATAACCTACTTGTCTTCAAGAAGTTTTCTGGGGTTCAAGACTCGAGGAAGGATTTGACGGCAATGCAGCCCCCATCTTACCCAAACCCTTACTGCTTACGGCCTAATTACCTCACTCTCTCCGGGTAGAAGAGAGCCATGGACCACACCAGAATGCCACCCCAGTCGTGGCCAATGAACACGGCTTGCAGGATGCCCTAGCAAAGGGTAAAGAAGGAAGGTGAATGTGGGTGGTAGCTATCCCTCCCCTGCCAGTGCTTCCATGCTGCACCGCGACCCAGCCGAGGACGGGGCAGTGTGTCACTGGGCTGTAACCTCAGGAGTGGCTCGGGTGCTCTGCGAAAGCATATTCACAGATGGGCGGTGACTGGTTTTGAGTTTGACATTTTAAATAAAGTAAACAAAGGCATTTGATTTTAGATATTTCAAAAGATATTCAAAAAAGTTGTGAAATATTAGCCTACAGAATATTTTCCAAACTGCTTGACTCAAGCCAACAAAGGTATCCTATTCCCTGAAAGATGCTTTTCATGAAACAAAAAAAAAAAACCCAAACTACCTCTACAGCATTCTCCATCATCTCTGCCATGTCCGTCTTTGTAATGCCTTCTGCTCACCTCCCACCCCACCCCTGCATCCCACTGTCCCTGAGTTGGCCTTTCCGGGCCCCTGGAGAGCTCCAACAGCTGACACCTTGAAAGGCACCATCTCGTCTTTAACTGCCCAGACCCAGACAGAATTCTCCAGAGTTCAGTTCAAAATTATTACTTACCAACTTATCCAGGAAAGTTACCATATCCTAAGAAAGAAAACACACACACAAATCAGAAACTGTGTCCACCTGCCTCAGCCCTTCAAGATTAGAATTATTGTGTTGCCTTTGTTATCGACTGAATTTTGTCTAAAACTCACAGGTGATGCCCTAACCCTCAGTGCCCCCGAAGGTGGCTATATTTGAAGACAGGGTCACTAAAAAGGTGATAACATTAAAATGAGGTCATCAGGGCAGGCCCTCATCCAGTCTGCCTGGTGTCTGTACAAGGAGAGATCTGGGCGCCTGAAGACATTAGGAGAAGATGGCCATCTTCGAGCCTCGCCTGGAAGCTTCAGACAAAGACGTGCTAGCACCTTAATCCCAGACCTCTGGCCTCCAGAATGGCAGCCACTGAGTCTGTGGTGCTCTGTCATGGCAGCTGGGGCACACGGACGCAACGTCCTTGAGTTCCACTAGCTTTGGAGCTCCCCCCATTCCCTGTCCAGCGTGCTCTCAGGAGTGCAGAGTGGAAGGGGCAACGACTTGGAAACTGAGGGAGGAAACACAGCCCTGACTGGAAACTTGGATTCTACCTGTGCTGCCCTTAGGAGATGCAGAGACTGCAGGTGGCGGGGGGGGGGGGGCGCTGGAGGAGATGGAGGGGGGGGGCTCCAGAGCTGTGACGCTGAGATGGAGGCTCTTTGTAATTTTAGTGTGAGCAGCACCATTGTTAGTTTTCTGTTTCCTCCCTTGACCCCTCCAGCCTTTGCTTTTGTTCTAAGGAGGTTTGGGTAGAAGACTCCTCACCTTTGCCCCACCCTCCCCCCTCAAGCTCTGCAATGAGGGTCCCCTCTGCAACGGTCCTTATGCCTGTCTTAGAATAGTCACTGATCCACACACTAACTCTGGCCACCAACATCTGTACCAAACTATAGTGATGTTTAAAGTTCCCAGGATGAAAAGACAATATGGTGGAGCGGCTAGGAGGAGAGCTGTGGGAGCTAATGTAGGGTTCAGACCTGGCTCTACTGGCTGTTAACCTCAGGCAACTACCTGGGACTCAGTTTCATCTCCCATCAAATGCTGAGACAGTACTTGAGACACAGCAAAGCTTTAGTAAGAATTATACCTGAGGTCTGGCTGGTGTAGCTCAGTGGATTGAGTGTGGGCCTGTGAACCAAAGGATCATGGTTTGATTCCCAGTCAGCGCTCATGCCTGGGTTGCAGGCCAGTTCCCAGCAGGGGATGCATGAGAGGCAACCATACATTGATGTTTCTCTCCCTCTCTCCTTCCCTTCCCCTCTAAAGATAAATAAATAAAATCTTAAAAAAAAGAATTACAACTGAATGTTGTGAAATGATATTTTCCTGAGATTGAAACAAACACCCACACTTCTGTCTTATATTGGTAAAAATGCCGAGATGAAAAAGATGCTACAGATGTTTCCCAAAGACCCTTCTTACCTTGCATAACACTTCCAAGGAATATTCTTCTATTTCTGCAATTAAAAAGAAAAGAAATGCATTCAATATGCAGGGCTAAAATTTACAAACAGCTAGGAGGACCCTTTTACCAAAACAAAAATTCTTGTTCGATCCTCACATTGATGTAGTCCACTGGTTTTTGTTTTTGTTGCCTGTGCTTTCGGTGCCGTATTCACAAAATCATTACCAAGACCAATGTCACAAGGCTTCTACCCTATTTTTCTTCTAGCAGTTTTAGTTTCAAGTCTTACATTTAAGTCTTTAATCTATTTTAATTTTTTGTAAGATAAGGTGTAAGATAATGGTCCAATTTCATTCTTTTTATGTGAATAGCTAATTTTCTCAGTGTTTTCCCTATTGTGTGTTCTTGGCACCCTTGCAAAAGGGTCAGTTGACCATATATGTGTATAATATGTGTAAATTTACTTCTGGGCTCCATAATCTGTCTTTATGCCAGTACCACACTGTTTTGATTACTGTAGCTTTGTAATATATTTTGAAATTGGAATGTGTGAGTCCTCCAGCTTTGTTCTTTCTCCAGACTGATTTGACTGTTGGTCTGTTGTGGATCCATATGAATTATAGAATTGTGTTTTCTTTTTCTGTAAAAATGCTACTGGGGTTTTAATTGAGATTGCATTAACTCTGTGGATTGTTTTGAGTAATTTGAATATTTTAACGATAAGTGCAATTTCAGAAAGAAAAAGCAAAAAGCAGAATTACCAAAGAAGTAATTCAAGAAAGTTTCCAACTGAAAGATAATATATCCAGCAAAGTAGATGAAAAAAGACCTATGTCATAGCACAATATCACAAAATTTTAGAATACAACAAATAAAGAAAAGATCCTAGTGTCAAGGGTAAGAAAGAAAAAAACAAATGATCACATAGGAAGGTTTATGGATTAGAATGGCATGGAATTTTTTATTAGCAACAAGGAAAACTAGAAGATAGTGAGACAAAGGCTTCAAAATTTTAGGAAAAATTATTTGTTATTTAAAATCTAGTAACAAATGGTTTGAAACTTATACACAAATGATCTGAACTGCATGTATATGTATTCCAAATCATACTTGGCTTTAGAATTCATACTATATAAAATCTTCAACAATAGTTAACATGTAAATTATGGTTTCCTTAAAAATTATAATTAGGGTATAACTGTAAGTTCCAGTTCCAGTTCCAGTTTCAGTGTACTATTACTAACAGTGCCTCTTTTTACTTTTAATAGTGTTCCAGTTTGAATGAAAAACTGTGTTACTAAGTTATGCCTAGGGGAATCAGGGAATATTGCAATATAGATGAATAAAAAGACATTTTAATAATTAAATTTTTAAGAAACCCTTAGACACCTTTCCCGGGTTTTTGAACCGAAGGCTGTCCTTCTATCTAAAATGCTTCTGCATCATTCAACATCATCAGTAGCTGCTGAATCAACACCACAACAATTAAGGGAAAATTATGGAGGCGCTCTCCTGCTATGACAATCTGAGGCGCCTGGTTGGGGGCCACCTGAGTCCACTTCTGCTAACTTTAGATTCAACACAATAGGCCAAATGTGAATACGGGGGAAGCAACTCAGAAAAGGGGCGTCGAGCAGCTGGGCTGACTCACTGAGCTGCCAACAGCTAACACACTGCTAATGGCATGACACCTGCCCTGTCACCTGCAGGGACCAGGAGTTTGCTGCATGCCTGGCTGCTGCTTCATGTTGCTGCCTCCACACCTGGGATTCCTAAATAGTTTTGGGCTGAGGACCCCTCTGAAACTGATCAAAACAATGAAAAAATACTCGTAAACCCACATGTGGCCTCAGGGGTTGACAAGCCCCCTGTTACCCATTCTTGGATAGACTCCCACTGGGGTCCATTGGACACTGGGTTAAAGAGCTGGCCTATAAATTACCTTATGATCTAACAATTTGATTTCTGGTTATATAACCTAAAGAAATGAAAAGAGGGCCTCAAAGAGATATTTGTGCACCCGTGTCCACAGCAGCATTATTCACAATAGTCAAAAGATGGAGACAACCCAAGTGTCCATCAATGGATGGAAAAATAAATGTGGTATATCCATTCAATGAAATATTACTCAGCCTTAAAAAAGAAGGAAATCATGATGCAACATGAATGAACCTTGAAGACATAATGCTAACTGAAATAAACCAGTCACAAAAGGATAAATACTGTTTAATCCACTTATGTGAAGCCCCCTGTATAGTCAAATTTACAGAGACAGAAAACAGAAGGGTAGTTGCTAGGGGCTGGAGGGAAGGGGCAATGAAGAGCTATCATTTCATGGGTAGAATTTCAGCTCTGCGGATGAAATATGTTCTGGAGCTAGATGGTACGTCCTGTACTCTACATCCTCATCAACCAGCCAGAGACACACTCAGGGCACAGACCAATGGGCTTCTTGTATTCACTCAGAGTATGAGGAACAGAGGCATCTGGGATCCAAACCGCATAGACAGAGGACACTGCAGGAGAGGGGAGATGCAGACTCAGACCCCCTTGAAGGACTGCCTGCTCTGACCTGGGACCAGGGGAAGGCAGTGCAGCTGCAGAGCTCAGACAGTCCAAAAGCATGACCAATAGACAACAGCTGTAAGCCAGCTTACCCACCAGGAGGAGCAGACGACTCTCCATAGCCTTTCAGGTCCACAGCTAGTACCCGGAAACCTGCCTGGGCCAGAGCAGGAATCTAGAAAACAAACAATTCAGGTGCACTCCAGTACGGTCTTATAACTTTTGGCTGACACCCCCTCTTTGTTCCCTCTCTCCCCCTCCTCTTTGTAAATGGCTCCATTCCAAGTGCCACACAACATTACAAGGTCTCTTCTCCATGGGACTGGAACGAGCCCACCTGGACAGGGCTGCCATGGACAGTGGTAGGGTCCGTGCACTGCATCTAATGCTGCATCCAAGAGCACCTTTCGTAACAAAGACCTCACAGATTTCTATAATCATAACAAAGACTTCCGGCAGGTGGCACAGAGTAAAGGAGTCTGCCTTTTTTTAATCTGCAAAGGTAGCATATGGGCTAGCACAGCTCTGAAGTCTCAAGAAATCTCCAGCCCCAACATTCCTGAGGTATCACAGCTGGACTTTGGTTTGGGCTTCTTAATGACATTCAGGCAGGGGCATACGATCTCGACAGGCTCCTTACCTCGCCCTGACTGGGGCGTGCCTTTACCCCGTTTTCCTTACCTGATACTTCCAAGAGAACCAGCTCTCAGGAAATCCATGGCAGAGGCACACGGCAGGGCCGGAGCCCAGCTCCACAAAGTGCAGGTGCACCCCAGGCTGTAGGAGAGAGAGGTGAGTAGGAAGGGGCCACCGCACCAGGCTGGGCAGAACCAGGCCCCTCTTCTGCAACGGTCCAGGCCACCTCAGTGTATTTCCAAATCTTGTATGATCCAGATTTCTCAACCTAAGCCCCCCGTGCTAGAAGATGTCTAAAAAGAGACAACTAGCCAAACTGTGCAATAAAAACACCTGGCTTTTATTGTAACTTATTTAAGAAGCTTGAGGAGTATAATGTTGGGGGAAAAAAAAACAATTTTGCCTCATCCCTAAAAGGCCCTTATACTATCAAAGTTTCTGGTGTGGTTTGTCATATTTTCAATATTAAACTTGGGATTCATTTTGTGCAGAGCATAATATTCATGCCAACATGCAGAATATGATCATTATTTTATTGAAAAGCTATTTATCTCTTGAATATGAATTTTTTCAAGTTTGCTATACTTCTAGTACTTTCTGGGCTACGTGGGTACGGCAAAGGCTGCTAGGGCTCAACATCTGTGTTCCTCTCTTCTCCCTGGAACACGGTGGCATTTTCCAGACCTCCCCCTCCACTTCCCTGCAGTGGATGTGGCCACACGACTGAGTTCTGGCCAACGGCATATGAGTGGAGGAAGTGTATGCTGTATCCAGGGCCTCTACATTAGTCCCCCCTCTATTTTTTCATCTGTATCTGAATGGATTGGGCCTTGAGGAAGCGGGAATCAGCAGAAAGAAGGAGCCTGGGTGCTTGAATGACCATGTGGAAAGGGCCTACTGTCCTTGCTCAGTCCAAGAAACAGACTCGGTGTTAAGCTGGGGTTGGTTGTGAGGGCACCGAGCCTTCTCTGGCTACTACAGTGGGGTCTAAGCAAACCAACCAAAGCTATATGTGGTCACAATATAGACTATTTTCCCCAAATGCACCCATCTCCAGCTTTCTAGTAGACATGAAGGAGAAAAATGAGTTTCCCATTGTGGAAATTCACTTGAAGCAATTCTGTTTCACTGTGTCTCAGACTTCTCCCAGCTGGTGTCCCAAACTGGATGTCTCAGTCATGATTCCCAACAAGCTGTTTTGCTCAAGGAAATGTTAGGCTGACCTTTTGCAAACTCTTTCATGGGCTGAAATCTTTTTTTATCAGAATATTCTCCACAATCTTCCCTTAAGTACTTGGTAAAGGGAGGGAATCTAACTTTAAATTCCATACTCCTTATATTGAAAATGTTATACTGCCAATGTCCAATCAAATGATCCTTATCCACCTCTGTTCTAAGCGGATCCTAACTAAAGCCTCATTCTGCTGCTTCATATTTGAACTAGCTGAGTAACTCGGCAAATACATGTGCTCCCCCACCTTAAATATGTTAATAAAATCGCTATAAAGCTGGAAAATGAGCAAGATCTATTACAACCCAGTGTGGGTTGCATTAGCAGCCAGTGGAGATAAATGCAAGAGCACCCCCAAGCCTGGCCTCCACTGGGGTTTCTCGGAGGTCACTGCCCCAGCTGCTGAATTTGGAGTGGTGGCAGGGGGGTAGCAAGCAGCTCTGACCACCCTCCTTCAAGGTCAAATGAGGAATCTATTGAAACTGTCTGGACATGCAAGCATCAAGAGGATGACAAGAATAACCATGTCCACGGGGTAGAAGACACCAGGTTACAGCCCAGACCCCAGGCCCACGCCAAGAGCCCCTCACTCTTCATCAGTATAGAGGTGAGGCCTGAAGGGACCTTATGAAATGCTCACCCCACCCAACCCTCTTTAGGACCACCCAGGGTTATAGGAGGGGCTGTACTGATGCTGACCCACAGCTTCTGGTACCACTTTCTTACACTCTAACTCCTGCTCATCCTTTGATTCTCACTTCACCATGTCATGTTGCCTGTCCCTCACAGAACCCATTCTCAGTGCACCAGGGCACTGCTGTCAGGTCCAGACCTCATCCTCTAATGTAACTGCAAGGGCCTCAAATGTTTATCTCAGTGGACCGTAAAATTCCTCAGGTGATGGAAGACCCTCTGCTCATCTCGGTATTTCTCCTTGTGCCCAGCCCATAGCAAATGCTCAATAAAAATCTGCAGGGTTTTCCTCCAGGACAGCAGGTCTCGCATGATCTGCAGACCTGTTCTGCTATGCCTATGGTCTGCCTGTGGTCTGCCTGTGGTATTTCGATTAGTTCTTACAAGAACACTGAGGGAAGGACAACTGACTCTTGAATCACACAGGCTTGAACTGTGTGCATAAGTAGCCTGTTGTTGCCTGGGCTCTCACAGTGTCGGCCACGCCACTTCACATAGCCCAAGGCATGGTCTGTGTCTTTTGATTTTTCAGAAATGATACTCATGGGAAATATGATTTCCTTATAAACAGTGGCTATTCAACTACCCTGGATATTTAACAAATGTCTCTGTGAGTCATTTTAGGTGACCTGGTTAGAGAGTACTCAGCTGACCGAGAAAGAGCTCACTTACCTTTATTGGCACGTACCCATGGCTCACATCACTTGGGCGGCATGGGGCTGGGAGAGGGGCTTCTGTTTCGAGAAGCTGCAAGTAGGAGACACAGTGAGAGGTGCACTGAGGGAGGCACCTGCAGCTTCCTTCCATGAGGGGTTCTCAGAGGTCGTTTCCAGAACCCCAGTGTGCTGGCACCAGAGGTGAGCTCACAGATGCCCTCTGCCATGGCCTCCTGAGTGCTCTGGGTGACTTGCCAACCCACCATCCTCTCCTATAGTAGCATTCTCATGATAAAGCTGTGGACACTGATACTGAGAGTGGTAAAAAATGTACCTAAATTTGCCATCTTGGTAAATGCTAGGATTCAGACTGGTTCTATTGGATTAGAACACCGCTAGACTTCATCTCGCCTTCCTTTCAGTTCCACGGAGGCCTTCGAGTTCTGATCAGTGGCATGCAGACAGAAGAGTATGGCCCGTCAGCTTGGCCCATGGATATCCCCACCTAGTCCTCTCCATTCTCTTTTCCCTATTTTGCAGCTGAGTGTCTGGTGTGACAACACCTTTTATAGGAGGTGTACACCTGTCAGTCTAGCCTGGTAAAAAGATGGGATTGGCTGGGGAGCTGGACCTTTCTGGAGTGTGTGGAATTTGGAGCCAGGAGATTTAAAAGAGGGAAGGCAGAAGCATGCCTCTTCTTCCCCTCCCTGACCCTGCTGGGGCTGGCTCATGCCAAGGTGGAGTTGTGCACACTAGGCTACACCTCAGAGGACACGTGCCCCAGCAGTGACCTGCAGGGCACAGCGTCATCTTCCAAAGCTGCATGGATGGCCCCAGACAATGCTCTTCTTTTCCTCTGAGTTGCTCGGCACAAACAGACGGGCCAGAGTGCTACCAGACTGGCAGGCTCTGGAAGCCACATGGCCAGTGGGCAGGTAACAGGCTCCTGGTATAAGAAGCTGTGGCACGGCAATGATGATGTGTGCCCCGTGTCTAGACTCCAGAGACACTGAGGGCAACCCACCCAGCAGCCTGTGCTCCAAAGAACAGATAAGGATGGAGCAAGATTTCTGGGCATGGTTTTGGGTGCCGGTCTTTGGGGGAGCCAGGAAATTCTCTGGTTCCCCCAAGTTGTGCAACATTTTAATAAAGACCCTTTTCCTTCTCCACCACACTTTCTCTTCAGAATACGCCTGTGTTCGGTTGGTGGGCAGCCAATTCCATGTTTGTTCAGTAATACTTGGGCAAGGTTCTTTAAGGTTATGAAGTCATTAGATACACATTTTTATTTATTTGTTAAGGACAAAAAATCAATCATTCTGAGCAAAATTATATCTCCTTCTGTTGCAATCTTAACCCTCAGGACCTCAGAATGCAACTACATTTGGAGATGAGGTCTTTAAACAGGGGATTAAGTTCGAAGAGATCACTGGGGTGGGCCGTTGGGAGTCAGAATCCAATTTGACTGCATCCTTGTAAGTAGAGGAGATTAGGAGCCACGCAGGGGTGGACCATGTGAAGACACAGGGAGAGGGTAGCCATCGACAAGCCTAGGCTGCCAACACCCTAATCTTGGGCCTCTAGCCTCCTGGTGAGGCTGCTGTCTCAGACACCCAGTCTGTGCTATGGTATGGCAGCCCTGGGAAATGAATGACACAAGTCCCTTGAGAAAATGGTCGACACCTTTGAAGTCCATCTAGCTCAATCGAGCGTAGAGATTCCCTCCTCCCTCCTATCCCATCACACTGACAGCCCTGAGCAAAGCACGGCATTCCTGCAAAACATCTGTGTAACTGTCACTCGTGCACTCAGTGGGACAGCTGAGCTCAGGTAAGCGCAAAAGAACAAAAGGTGCCTTGGCTTTGACAGAGCGGGCTAATTCCCATGCAGCTCCCCACGGAGATCATTAAGGACACCCCATTCTCAATAAGTGTAATCGTTTTTACCCAAAAGCCTTCCTGCAGGCTGGCACGAGGGTGTGTTCCAGGAGGAGCCAAGCAGGAGCCCAGCAGGCACACAAGGTAAGCATTGGGCTCCCCACCGGGGTAGACCTAGCAGCTACACTCTCAGTATTCACTCTGAAAAGAACTAGCTGGCTGGGAGAGCCCGACTTCGACTAGTATAGATTCTCTCTCCCAGAGCATTGTTTCTCTGTTCACTGACTGCAGAGAAAGGAACAAGGTATTCTTCAAGGACATCGTGCTGACTATACAATGGGTAAGAAACTCCCACCCAAGAGATCTGCACCTGAGAGCCACACCTGAAGCAATGAACTGCCTGAGCATCAGATTCTCCTCTTCTTTCATCTTGTGTACCTGCACACAGATGAGTGGTGGGAAGTCTCACTCAGCATACACACACAGTTACCTGCATCCCGGTTACTCTCTCCAGCTCTTGCAGGGCGACGTTGCTGTCGTGAACAAGGATGGTGACCATTCCTAAATCACGGGCTGGCTTCAGATTAGACCCGATGTCATCCAAGAAGACAACCTGAATCCAAATAGCATGGACACTAGCATTACTTCAACCAAAGCAAACCTCATGTACAAAGGACAACGCCAGAAAGAAACACATTAAACTATGAATAGAGGTGACCTGGCCAATAAGCTTCAGTTGAATGGAGCATCGTCCAGTAAACCAAAAGGTTGTAGGTTTGATTCCTGTTCGGAGCACATGCCTGGGTTGTGGGTTTGGTCCGACTTAGGCACACGGGAGAGACGCTCACTGTTTCTCTTTCTCTCTCCCTCACTCTAATACCAATAAGCACGTCCACATATGACGATAAAAAAATGTGAATAGTAGCTATTATATGAGACCAGATTAAAAATGATTTTTATTTTCATGGAACTGTTTATTCTTCTAATTAAAAACATTTAATTGTGTAAGTATCACATATACACACAGATATACGTGTTCCCACATATACCTACTGGTTCAGCCTGAATTCTGAAACTGTGAGAAGACTAAGAAAGAGTATAAAGTACCAGAATGATATTAAAATTTATCTAAAAAAAAATCAACATTTATGAATGGACAAAAAATGTGTCTGGAAAGGAACCATAATAAAGGCAGATAAGAAAACTGCATAAAGGACTTCTAGCCAAGATGAAGGAATTGGTAGACACACTGTGCCTCTTCACACAACCAAAAGAAGGACAATAACAATCTAAAAACAGAAAACAACAAGAACTGACATAAAATCGAACCATATGGAAGTCCCACAACCAAGGAGTTAAAGAAGACACATTCATCCAGACCAGTAGGAAGGGCGGAGTTGGGCAGCCAGGAGGAGAGGACTCGAGGCAAGGTGGTGGCTGGTGGACTGAGCAGATAAACCAGGAGGAACAGCTGGGGAGCAGGATGGACCGCACAACCCAGGGTCCCAGCTCGGGGAAATAAAGCCTCAAACCTCTGATTAAAAATACCTGTGGGGGTAGAGATGCCAGCGGGAGAAACTCGCAGCCTCATAGGAGAGTTCGTTGGAGAGACACACAAGGTCCTAGAATGTACCCAGGAACCCACCCGGGAACCAGCACCAGATGGGCCCAACTTGCTTGTGGGAAGTGAGGGAAAATGACTGTAATCCAACAGAGAGCGGAGCAAGTGCCATTGTTCCCTCTTGGAACCCTGCCCCACATACAGCATCACAACACAGCTACGTGGGTTGCCCCACCCTGAACACCTAAGGCTCTACCCCCACTACATAACAGGTGCGTCAAGACAAAAAAAAATGGCCCAAATGAAAGAACAGATCAAAGCTCCAGGAAAAATACAACTAAGCAACAAAGAGGTAGCCAACCTATCAGATGCACAGTTCAAAACACCAGTAATTAAGATGCTCACAGAATTGGTTGAATTTGGTTGCAAATTAGATGAAAAAATGAAGGCTACGCTAAGCGAAATAAAAGAAAATGTACAGGGAATCAATAGTGATGGGAAGGAAACTGGGACTCAAATCAATGGTGTAGACCAGAAGGAAGAAAGAAACATCTAATTAGAAAAGAATGAAGAAACAAGAATTCGAAAAAATGAGGAGAGGCTTAGGAACCTCCAGGACATCTTTAAATGCTCCAACATTCGAATTATAGGGGTACCGGAAGGAGAAGAGGAAGAGCAAGTGGAAAAGTTACTTGAACAAATAATAAAGGAGAACTTCCCCAATCTGGCAAAGGAAATAGACTCCCAGGAAATCCAGGAAGCTCAGAGAGTCCCAAACAAGTTGGACCCAAGGAGGAACATACCAAGGCACATCAGAATTACATTACCTAAGACAGAATCCTAGAAGCAGCAAGAAATAAGGAGGCAGTTACCTATGAAGGAGTTCCCATAAGACTGTCAGCTGATTTCTCCAAAGAGACCTTACAGGCAAGAAGGGGCTAGAAAGTATTCCAAGTCATGAAAGGCAAGGACCTACATCCAAGATTGCTCTACCCAGCAAAGCTTTCATTTAGAATGGAAAGGCAGATAATGTGCCTCTCAGATAAGGTCAAGTTAAAGGAGTTCATCACCACCAAGACCTTATTATATGAAATGTTAAAGGGATTTATATAAGAAAAAGAAGATAAAAAATATGTACCATAAAATGACAGCAAACTCACAATTATTAACAACCACACCTAAAACAAAAACAAAAACAAACTAAGCAAACAACTAGAACAGGAACAGAACCACAGAAATGGAGATCACATGGAGGGTTAGCAACAGGGGAGTGGGAAGGGGAGAAAGGGGAAAAAGGTACAGAGAAGAAGTAGAATAGACGGTGGGGAGAAAATAGACAGGGGGAGGGTAAGAATAGCATGGGAAAAGTAGAAACCAAAGAACTTACATGTATGACACATGGACATGAACTAAAGGGGAGGGATGTGGATGAGAAGGGATGTGCAGGGTGGAGGGAAGTGAAAGGGGGAAAATGGGACAACTGTAATGACATAGTGAATAAAATATATTTAAGAAAAAAGAAAACTGCATAAAGCCACAAAACGTAAAAAAAAAGTTTGCTACTAAAAAAGAAACAGACAAAAAAGACATATCGACGAGATAGAAGAGAGTCAAGGAATAGACCCAAACGCAAATTACAGTTTAGTTTCTAATAAAAGTGTCATGTGTAATCAATGATGAAAAAGATTATTAAAAGACTATTTAATTATTTTTATCAGTTTGAGGAAAAAAGTGGATCCTTCATATCTCACTTCCAAATAAATTTTGAATGGATCATAGGTTTAAATTTCAATAAAAATAAAAGAAAGGTCCTTAGAAGTATAGAAAAAAACATGGTGTTTTTATTTATAATTGGATTAGGGAAGGCCTAGACTTCTAAGCAGCTCATACAACCCAAAAGCCCTGATGTGAAAAGACATTCATTTATACGCAAACTAAAGTTGAGAGTGTTGTTATGATGCTTAACCTGGGCCTCGAGGAGAGCCGAAGCAAAGTTTTAGAGGAGAAGGCAAGGGTCCTGGGAGTATTGAGCCTGGCAAGGAATCTCAAGGTCGGGGCTCAGGATTTCATCTGATCAGATGTGGGTGAGGTAGGGCCAATGAAAGGGTCAGAAACAGCAGGGGAAGGAATTTAATCTCGGTTCCAATTGCCTTTTTGAAGACGAGAGGAAGGGAACACAAGGAAAAAAGTGTTTTAGAATAGGTCATCTAGAGATAGTATGAAGACAGAATGTAGGAGCGCTGGGCTGGTAGAAGACTGCTGTCATATTGGAGCCCAAACAAGTTGGACCCAAGGAGGAACATACCAAGGCACATCAGAATTGGAGCCCATTCCTGCTCACCCTTTGGGGGGGTGATCCCAACTAGCCTTGTGGTCTTGGGAAAATCTCTCAGGGTTGCAGTGTTTTTACAGGCAAACTAAGGCAGCTGGTCTAAAAACTTTCAACAATACCTGTTTTGATCAAGGTCCTGTAAAAGCCACAGAGAGCAGTCAGATGAGCACCTCTGGTAGAACTTTCTAGAAGGGATGGGTAAAAGTCTACAGAAGTCCTGGCCTGAGAGAAGTGGAACGTGCCACTGGAACCAGAGCCATTCTGCCAGGCCCCAGATATCCCCCACTTGCTTACTCCTCCTTGATTTCTCTTGATTATCATATCTCTAGAACATCATTCTCCACTGCAGGACAGCATCTAATACGCACCTCATTGGGGCTGGCCTTCAACGTGTCCAGCACAAACTTGTAGATCTGAAGATCAGGCTTGGCCATTCCAATCCAACATGACTCTATCAGCAGGTCAAAGTGTGGCTTCAGTTCACATATCAGCTGGGCCCAGCAGCTTCTCTGGGTGCTGTCATCCAGCCAGTTGTTGGTGAGGATGCAGGTTGTCAATCCTGAGCAAGAAGTCAGCAGTGAACAGACCAGCTACAGAACTTTGCTCTAAGAAGCTCTGGGTGGAGCCAAGTAGGGTTCTGCTCACTTACATCAATTTCCTGATGCCTGACACCTAAATTGACAACTTGGAAAAGAGTCATCTTTACCCTTAAGCACCTCCTGAACAGAGGCATGAGAGTGAGCTCATTGTGTTCATTAGGACTTTCAGAAGCCCAGATGGAGACGCTGCATGCCTTACTTCCTTGCAGTTGTAGAGCAAGAGGTCGTGACATTTGTCAGTTCATTTGATCCTCAACCCATTTGCGCTGGGCAGGTCAGATCTTCCCACCCTACTTCTGATGAGCAAGCCGGAAGCTCAGAGAGTTGATGAGCTGCACCACTCACGCACTGAAGCAGAGCATGCGGGGCCTGGATCCTGCCTTCAGAGTGCCACTCCACTGCTCCTCCTGGTCCACGCTGCCACAAACTCTGCACCTATGTTTCAAACCACCTGCTTTGGCTTTCAGAGACTGCATTCCCATTTCAAAACTGGAGAAATGTAAATAGACATAGCAGTCCCCTCGGGCTTTCTCTGTCTAAACAGAGAGGGCAAGAACCAGGAGATACTGAAAATGAGACAGCTAAGTCAAGGGTGTGACACTTCCCATGTAATATGAGTGACAAATATGGACATGGATGGCTTAGCCACAGTCAGGAAAGTCTACTGATAAATGGGTGGAATGATTTCAAATATGCTTGTGGAGAAGAACCAGGCTCTGACACTAAATGAATGGCTGTTCATGAGCTCATGTCATAGACCATTTCACACCATCTCAGTCCAGATCAGCCAACTCATAGCTCATCATTGTGCCAACCAGAGGTTGGAAAAATCATAATCACTTAAAAGACCTTATTTTTAAATTATGGTGGCAAGATGTTGGGTCACTTGGGTCATTACCAGTGTTGTCAGAGGGAGAGAAGTTTGCTCACAAGGCAGGCTCTGGCATAGATCGGTTTATTACATAAAACTCTTTTATTTTCCCAGCCATTCTGAGGGTGCTGCTTTTTGCTATTTGGTATAATTAACTCTGGGCCTATGTTTTAAGAACAGCTTTCCATCAAGGTCTGGATGATCTGTGATCTCAAAACACATTTAGATGTATTCTGACCTACTCCCACCAGAGGTCCTGGTGTGGCTGGCTCAGAAGACGGCCACTGTCAGATCCTTACCCTTCTTTCTGAGAGCGAGAGCTGCCTGAAGCATGGGGCGGTTGATCTTCCTTTCTGAAATCGCCTTGCGAAGGACTTGACTTACAGAGAAATTCTCAGGGAGGGTGATTCCAGAATCCTCAGAGTGTTTCCTGCAGTGTTCTTCTATGAGTGATATCCACTGTAGAAGTAAATTGCCAAGGGACTGTCAATTGGTACAACCACTTGGAAAAGCTTTTGGCGGCATTTACTAAAATCTGAACACATGCCTTCCACGTGATCCAGCAATTTCACTCCTGGACACATACCCAACAGAAATGTCTACATATGTTCACTGCAGCATTATTCCTTAGAGCCAGCCCCACACTAGAAAATACTCAAATGCCCCTTGTATGGGCTGAATTGTGCCCCACCCCCCAATTCTTGGTGAAATCCTAACCCCCAGGACCTCAGAACATGACTGTCCTTACAGACAAGGTCTTTACGAGGTGATGAGGGTAAAATGAGGTAAACGATGTGGCCCTAATCCAATCTGACTGGTGTCCTCTGAAAAACAGGAGACTAGAACACAGACAATGGCAGAGGGGAGACCTTGTGAGGACACAGGGAGAAGACGGACATCTGCATGCCAAGGAGAGAGGGCTCAGAAGAGGCCAACCCTGAGGACGTCTTCATCTTGGACTATTAGCCTCCAGAGCTACGCTATACATAGTCTTCAAATCCTTTCCTCCCACTCTTTCTTGAACACACTCTATCAAACTTCCATCTCTGCATTCCAGAGTCTTCTCTCATCAGGGTTACCAGTTACCTCATTCTGCTGCTGTGTCTAACAGACACTGGCCAGTCTTCATTTAACTTGATCTATCAGCTGCATCTAACATAGTTGATCATACTCTTCATTTAAAGCTTGAGAACCTCTAGGCTTTCAGGACTGCACGCTCTCTTGGTTTCCATCTCACAGTGGAGACGTATTCCCTGTCTCTGATTGCTGGGTCCTCCTCACCAACCTGACCTCTAACATCAGAGTACCCAGAACTCTGACCCCATCTCGTCTCCATTTATATCCTCTTTCTCCATGATCATACTGAGTCCAATGGTGTTAAAAATACCATCTACCTGCTGAAAATATATATACATTAATTCAGCCTCGACCTCTTCCTTGAACTCTGGGTTTGTATATCCAGCTGCCTATTCCACACTCCGCTTGGATGTCCATAAGCATTTTAAATTAAAATACCCCAACTGAGTACCTGACTTCTGGACTCCTGCAGCTCTCATACCTGTTTCGCTTAAGAGCAACACCTACTTCCTGTTTGCTTTGGCCAGAATCCTGAGTCATCCTTAACTTCTCTCTGCCTCTCACTCGATCCATCAGGAAAACCTATTGAACCTGCCATCAAAATAGTCCCAGAATGTGACCACTTTTTACTACTCCTACTGATATGACCTTCATATAAGCCGCCCTCATGCCTCTCCTGGATTTTCCGATAGCTGTCTTAACTATTCCCTGTACGACGATCCTTGCCTTCTTAGTCTGTTCACACAGAAGCCAGCATGAGGCTTGAAAAATATAAGTCAGATAACATCACTTTGCTGCTCAAAAATCTCCCAATGCCTTTCCATCTCACTCAGGGTAAAAAAAGAAAAAGAAAAAAAGAACAGAATGGAAAAAGAGATTGAAGTATATCCATATAATAAAATACCACAGAGCAAAAAACAAAACTATCTACAACTTCACATGATAACATCTATAATTCTCCTAAATATACGGTTGAAGGAAAGAAACCATATACAAAATACTGTGTCTGCATGACCACTTCCATGAAGAACAAAGTCGGCAGGAGCGATCCGAAAGCTGGGAGTCGGGACGGTGGTCGCTCTCAGAGGGCGAACGTGCGGAAGGGGTCTGGGGGTGACTATGGTGAAGATAACGTTTCACTCCTCAATCAAGGTGCTGGTGATTAGGTGTACGCAGTTTGAAAATTCATCAAGCCATACACTTTGTTTCTTTTATTTGTACAGTATATATAAAAGTTAAAAGATGACTTCATTCCTAAGGTATAACTCTTTAAAAGACTATGGAACCTAAGTGGCCTTTATCATAGTATAATTTGTTTTTCCAGACTTCTTCCTCTAACCTATTAGAATTTCACAGAAGCTACACACAGGCTAAAGAAGTCCGAATAGGTATAGGATTTTCATAGCAAGTACTAAAAATTCCCTCCATCATTCCTGTGTTCATTGAAAATATACAGGATCTGGCAGAAGTAAGGCCTGCCTGAGTGTGGTTGGTAGGGTAAAAATACAGGTGTAATAATTTATAGTTTTAATTTGAACATTTCACCTAAAATGTCATATGGTGTGCTTGAGTGTGCTATTGCAATGTTACCGAATTACATGCTTATGATTTTCTAGCAAAAGATTTTGCAATGAAAGGGGTGTTATTTGTGCCGGATCCTGTATAGTATTTCCTTCTTTCATTATCTGCAGATTCTTTATCGATTCGAGCTTACTAACATTTAGTCCCAATAATATCATTCCAGCTTTTATTCACCTGTGTGTGCATGAGAGGGAACGTTTGAAAGTGACTTCAATTTATTATACCTCCCACACTAAGCCTCCACTTGCCTTCTCAGAAAAGTGGGCTCTTGAGTCCCATTATAGTAGGTGTCAAACTCTCTGGCTGACCTATAGGTGATTGTCATTCATAAAAAAATTTTTAATGTATAGATGTTTTTATTTGTGTACTTACAGAGTACATTCTCAATAGCCTTTCTTCTTTGAGGCACTAAAGAGAATGCAAATGGTTTTCGATCCTGATTACTTTGTTAGAAAATAATTGAGGTTGTAGTAACAATAATAACTATTATTTTGCACACTTACTATGTGTCAGGCACTGTAATAAGCACTTTTCGAATAAGCCTATGAAATGGATACTACTATCACTCTCATCTGATAGATGAGAAAAACTGAAACTTAACACCCCTCCTCCCCAGTGCCCCTGTCTAAAAATAGCTACAGTATTCCAATAAAAGTGTGAAAACGTGGAACCCTTGCGCACTGCTGGGCAAATGTAAAATGGCCAGCAGTTATAGAACACAGTATGGAGGTTCCTCAAAAATTAAAATGACAACTATCACATGATCCAGCGGTTTCACCTTGGTATATATACTCAGAAGGACTGAAAGCAAGGTCTCGGATATTTACACCCATGTTTTCAGCAGCACTATTCACAATAACCAAAAGGTGGAAGTAACCCAAGTATCTGTCAGTGAATGAATGGATAAACCAAATGTGGTATATAGATTAATAGACAAATGGAATCTAAGGAGTGCTTATTGTAGCGTAATTTCATTCCTCTGAGGAAGGATATCCTGTGATATGCTACACCCTGGATGAACCCTGAAGACGTACTGCTAAGTGAAATAAGCAGTTACACAGACATTGCATGACCCCTCTTACAGAAGGCACCCAGAGTAGAGACAGAAAGTCTCTGTAGAGGCAGAAAGCGCCACGTGGTTACTGGGTGGGGGAGGTGAACAAGAAGTTATTGTTTAATAAGTATAGAACTTCAGGAGACAAACAACAAAACACTATTCTGGCTATTGTAACTCCCTGGGCTAGATCTCCAAAGGTTTGGAAATTTCCTAGTCATCGGGGTATGTCCCTCTGCTTGTCCCGAAAAGACACCGAAACAGTCCAAGATGTCTCCCCAGGTCACCAGCCCGTCCTGGGAGTTAAATGCCATAAAGGGTTCGTGGGCAAAGCAGACATGGCTCTGCCCTCACCGGGCGATGCTCAGTGCAGGAGATGGGCGTGCAGGCACAGAACGGCTTCCCAGGGGAGTCTACAAGGTATCCCCTCACCTGGGAAAATGTGATCTCTCCCCTCATGACACGGTTGGTGGAACCATCCAACTCTCCTTTCTTGAAAACTCCATTCAGAAAGCCTCTGGAAGACACAATGTCATGAATATTCCAATGACTTCATCACAGTGGCATAAGGGGACAGACACTATTTACATTGATGGTAGGCAGTTAGACAGACATGAGCAGAACAAGGACAATAGGCTGAAGGACAATAGAAAGAAGGTCACCAGAATGGAAAGCCTTGGGTGCCAGCAAGAGGCAAAAACGGGGAAAACATGAACCCCAAGGCCCAGGGTAACCTTCCCTCCCCTAGGTCATGTAGTTTGGCCCCACCCCTGAGCCCTTTCATATCACTGGTCATGGGGCTCAGACCTTCCCCTTACCTCTCCTCCCCTGTCACGTCGCCAGCCATGCAGTAAACCCTCACAGAGGAGGAACAAAGGGTAGAAGAAGAGCCTCATATGACCTCCATATATTGCGCAACCACTCCCTTAAGCATTAACCCCTAGGGATAACCGCTGTCCCTCACAGCTATTCCTCAGTTGTGTTTCAGCTCCAGGCCCAGAAAAGCAACAAAACCAGACAACCACTCCATGGCTGACCTCCGGACCAGCTGCGATGACTACTGACCCTGGTGCTGACCAATCAGTGGAGACCACGACCCTGAAAGGAACCCCTGCAAAAGCTGATGAATATTCTATCAAGATCCTCCCCTGGAACTCCCCTAAAATCTCCACCCTTAAAAGCCCTTACTTAGGATGGAGGACCCCCTTGGGAGCACACCCGCAACCCACCCCCACATGTTACACTTACCTTCTGTCTCCTAAGCTCCAAAAGCCCCTTTTGCCTCTGTAACTTGTTTCCAGAGCCCATTTCTTCTACCTTTGTGACTTCCTAAATAAAGTCTCCCCTCTAGTTTGAGTCTTGGCTCTGAATTCTTTCTTAGCCAAAACTCAAGTACCAAGGTTGTTGAACCAACGTCTGTTCTGACTCTACCAATGTAACACCTGGTGCCATTTTCTCCCTATCAATATATCCATAGACAAACTGCTATTAGAAGTCATTCTGCCATGGATGTAATGGAGCTGAGTGTTTCAAAGATTACTTCCTTTTCTGAGTTCCTTCTACCTCATGCCAATGTTTAAAAATTGGACTGTATTTTGAGTCCTGTCAGAATAAGCCTAACATTTTAAGTATCTATTAGTATGATACCATTTAATATAATTTTAAAGGTTAATGATTCTGTAAAATGTGTTATTGGAGTTAAATTGTGTCATGTGATGAACTGGTGTTTTCTTTGAGGTAGGAAAAATATCCTTCCAGATACCATCCACCAAACACTCCTCATGCCCACAACACTTCAGTAGGTGCTGTAGAGAAGACAGGAAAGAAATGAAACCTGGTCCTATTCACTAAGAAATTGTAATTTGATAGAAGAGATCAAACTGCTATCTGACAGGTAGGAAATAATCTGACTTCATTAGCAGCCAGCACTTGTTTTTGTTGATTTATTAATGGCAGGCAGCCATTCTGAGAGATGGGAGGTGGTATCTCACTGTGGTTTTAATTTTCATCTCTCTGATCATTAGTGAGGTTGAGCTTTTTCTCGTGTGTGTATTGGCCATCTGTATGGCTCACAGTACCCACGGCGTCATGGATGAGACATGAGACAAATTCACATGGACCACTGAGTCCTGTGGAGGAAAATGGACTACACAGCTACTCCCTCAAAGGGGGAGTTGCAGCCTGGCAACTCTCTCAAGGGGAGAGCACCCCAACCCTTGCCTAGACAGGCTTTTATTGGGTTTTTTGCACAGGAGTTCAGGTACAACTTATTAATCATTGTCAGGCAGGAAACAGTAGATAGCATATAAAGAACTATTAGGGCTTCTTCTAAGTCAGGGTCTATCAGCTAAAAGGCTGCAAGACTTTGAAAAAACAAACTCATTTTCTGCCCAGCATTGTCAGGCAGGAAACAGTAGATAGCATATAAAGAACTATTAGGGCTTCTTCTAAGTCAGGGTCTATCAGCTAAAAGGCTGCAAAACTTTGAAAAAACAAACTCATTTTCTGCCCAGGCCTTTATCATTTAACTAAGAACATTCTTATCAAAGCAGGCTTCACAGGATTTTACACATCCTTTATCAGGCCTGATCACCTGGGGAGCCTGCCCTTTCCAGCACAGGGCTGCACTGCCCTTTGTCATTGTTTCAGGCTTAAGTCAGGCAGAGGAGGCAGACAGCCAAGGAATTCTCGGAGACTTCTCACGGGCTCAGGGGAGTCAGGCTTTGTCAAAGCCGAGGGGCAAGGGTCCATCACCCCTTCTTCATAGCCCCCCAAGTCCTTCCCTGGGGCCTCTACGTGATCGTGCCTGTCTTAGGTCAATCCTCCCTTGACGAATCTTACCCATAATTGGCTAAGCGACCAAGCACTAGAGGCCAGTTATGGAAAAAGGAGCAGAATCGAGCTCCTGCCAGGGAGATAAGCTTTGTCTCCTTAGTGGCTTATAGTCCGAAGGTCGCTCACTCAGTCTTAGTAAATGGGGGGTTACAGCTCCTGAAACCAGGCAGGGCGGTTCCCAGCAGTACACTATCATGTTGTCTGTGAATAATGACAGTTTTACTTCCTCCTTTCCAAGTTGGATGCCTTTTATTTCTTCTTGTCTAACTGCTGCGGCTTTGATGTCCAGTACTCTGTTGAATAAGTGTGGTGAAAGCAGACACCTCTGTCTTGTTCCTAATCTTTAGGGAAATGCTTTTAGTTTTTGCCCTTTGAATATGACATTGGCTGCAAGTCTGTTATTTATGGCCTTTATTAGGTTGAAGTATGCTCCCTCTATTCCCGCTTTGCTGAGTGTTTTTATCATAAATGGGTGCTGGATTTTACCAAATGTGTTTTCTGCATATATTGATATGATTATGTGATTTTTATTCTTTATTTTGTTTATGTGATATATCATGTTTATTGATTTGCAAATATTATACCAGTCCTGAATTCCTGGAATATAACCCACTTGATCATGGTGTATAATCTTTTTGATGTATTGCTGGATTCAGTTTGCTATTTTAGCATCTATGTTCATCAGAGACACTGGCTTATAATCTTCTTTCTTTATAGTGTCTTTATCTGCTCTTAAAATCAGGATAATGTTAGTCTCATAAAAAGAGCTTAGAGAGGGAAAGGTTAGTAGGAAGTTACATTTTCTCTTTACATAATTCTGTTCATTTGAATATTTTCATAGTAAGAATATGCTTATGTATTAGTTGTGTGATTAAGACCCACATGTAAATTTTTTTTTAAATAGGAAAGATACTTTAAAGAGTAGAAAAAAGCCCAGAAGTGCCAAACAACAACTGCAAATCCAGAAACTGCCCCGGGAGTTCCCGGAAGTGTTCAATCCGTACTTCCTGTATGTACACAGGCTATGAATAAGAAGTCCTAGTCCTCAGATCTCTTTCTGTTTGCTGATCACTTGTTTCTTTTACTCAAAACAAAATTTCTACTTAGCATTGCATATTGAAAGCACCTCAGATTCGAAAGCATACAGTTTTGAAGGAAATTGACACTTTGTTCTTTCAAATTCTTTTTGTTTTTCAATTGCAGTTTACATTCAATATTGTTTTGTATTAGTTTCAAGTGGACAGCACATTGGACAGACTACCCCACACTTCACAAACTGCCCCCTCAATATTTCCACTACCCACTTGGCACCACACATAGTTATCACAATGTTGTTGACTATATTCCCTACGTTATAATTTAGATCCCTGTAACTATTTTGTAACTACCAACCTGTACTTCTTAATCCATTCACCTTTTTCACCCAGTTTCCTAACCCTGCTCCCCTCTGGCAACCATCAAGGTGGTTATCTACTGATAATTTATAACTGATGGTTATAAATTATCTATGGCTATAAAATTATAAATTATCTATGAGTCTGTTTCAGTTTTGTTTGGTCAATTACATTGTTCTTTAGATTCCACATGTAAGTGACATCATATGGCATTTGTCTTTCTCTGAGTGACTCAAGAAATGGACACTTTCTCCTTCCCTGGTGTTCAGTCCAGTGGCACCAGGCAAACCTTCCACAATGAAGCTGTGCCGAAAGGTATTAAATGGAGCATACACATCACCTCTGGATCTCAGGGAACCATCCTCACTCCTTCAGGTCACACCAGCCTCTCCTGCTGAGGTGACCACCCTCTCTAGCAGCCTAACCCTCAGAGGACCCTGGTCTGGATGACCACACCGAGAATGGAGTTTGCTCCTCTGTCCATCCCTCCATGATACCAGAAGTTGCATCTTCCTGGTCCACCCTGGGTTTTCATTCAACAATCTCCACTTCTGGAGTTCCCGATGGCCATTTGGGCTCCCATCACCTTGTCCTTGAGCAGGTATTTACAGATGTCCAGGACCTTCGTCCCCTCTTCCCCTCACAGTTTCAATACCAGGCTCACAGGCTTCCTTGGCCCTCCTCCAGACCCTATAGCCCAGGCTTTTCATCTTCCATGTCAATGACCCTGCAAACTCCTAGCCCCAAAGTCTTGTTTACTTTAATTCCAACCTCCATCAGGTTTCAGCATCAGTCCACCTGGCTCTACCTCCAAGCTGCCAAATTCTCAGACCTTACTGTAAGTGACACCCCTGTTTCCTTACCAATGCACTTGATCCATTACCCCAACACTCAGATACCTTGAGTTAGAGCATTATTTTACTCCTTTTCACCCCATCTCAAAACCCCTTAGTCACCAGCTATCAAAGCAGGTACATACTTAGCCTGACTTTCACGTCACAGTTCAATGCAGGCCCAGTCAACATCCCCACTTCTCTTTTGTGACACCCCTCCTCTGGCTACACCAGAGTATTCAGTGTTATTATGCAGTCACCTTCCAGCCTTTGCTCATGCTGTTCCCTCATCTGAGAAGCTCTCCCTTCACATCTCTCCCCATCAACCTCCTATCAATTTTCTCATGATCTGACTCCATTCAGGATTTCTTGATTCTCCTGGTTGGATCTAATCTCTCCCTTCCTGGAAACATCTAAGAACTTTGTGCCTCTTACCACACTGCCTTCACCTTGAAATTGGGCTATCTGTGGATATCTTAGCTTTCATATTTTATGCCAAGCTCTTTCAACATCTCTCAGGAATGTTGATCTAGGCCCTTCAGGCTCACCCTCTGAATTAATATCTTCATGGTTCCTTCACAGACTCCACAGGCCAAGATCAAGGCCATGGTCAAGGCTCTGACCTCCTGGAGTTTTGCTATGACCTGTTTTTTTTTTTCCTTTGGTAGATGTGTGTGTGGGGGGGGGGTTGTTTATTTATTTTTGCTGCTGGGAAAAATCCTAACCGTGGTCAAAAGGAGTGTGTGCGTCGGTGCAACACTAGGAAGATGCCCAACAATCACCTTGCATATGCATGAGATTTTTGTAAATAAATGTACCAGCAACACAGCTGTGCATCCAACTTGCATGTTATTTAATTTTACAAAAATGTCTACAGGAAGGTATTTTCTTATTTTAATATGAAGACTCTGGTTTTAGACCGTAGATGTTAAGAACTAAGATTTTTAATCTGGGTTTGACCCAGAACCCAGTGCTCTTTTAAATACCCTACATTTGCACCCTGACCAGTGTGGCTCAGTTGGTTGGAACGGCATCCCATAGACCAAAGGGTTTCAGGTTCAATTCTTGGTCAGGGCACATACCCAGGTTGTAGGTTTGAGTCCTGATCAGGCTACTGTACTAAAAGGCAACCAATCGATGTTTCTCTAATTTGAAGCTCTTTCTCTAGTCTGCTGTTACCAGAAGAAAATCTGCAAGACACAGAACTTTCTTCTCTTCAAAAATCTCAAAACAGTCTTTAAAATCCATTCCAGCCCTGGCTGGTGTGGTTCTGTTGGCTGGAGCGTGGGAAGTTGAATTTCTGGTTAGGTTTTAGGTGAGGATGGGAGGCAACCAACCAATGTTTCTCTTACATAGGTGCTTCCCTCTCTTTCTTCCTTCCTCTTCCTCTGAGCCATGGAAAAAATGTCCTCAGATGAGGATTAAAAAATATATATATAAATAAAATAAAATAAAATCCCTTCCATCACACAGAATTAGGCGGGCGGCAGCTACCTCAGCGAATAATCCTCTCATTTGAGAAAAAGCTTTCCCTATAGAGGGCAATTTTGGAGTTCCTGGAGAGGATTAATTACTTAAGATTTAGAGAGACACTGCATCTACTTAGGCACGCGGGTGTTTAGAGCCAGGTAATTATTTTAACCTTTCCTAAGGCTCTCAAACAACGGCGATCTGAAACCAGGGCTGAAAGGCCACTTTTAGGCTGGAATCCCGCCCTGTACCGCACTGACGCGCAGGCCGAGCCCCGGTTCCCCTCACCTGGGCAGTGCCAACTCCTCCTCAGTGCGGCTAGGGGCTCGGGCAACCGATGGCAGCGCCAGGACCCCGTCCAAGTCGAACACGACCGCACGCAACGCCATGGCTGCCATGGCGTACTGAGCCTCAGCCAAAACCCTCAACACCAAGCGCTCCGGGGCTGGACTGGGGCAGCAGATCGAAAGTTCACAGATCCACTCCCACCCTGCTCCTGCCGTCCCGCCCACGCCTCCGCCTCCGCCCCGCCCCCTGTCCAGGGACTGGTCACGCCCACTGGCCTCTGTCTAAGTTCCGCCCTCTTTTCTGATACGTTCCTGCCTCCACTCCTCCTCTGACTTAGTCACGCCCCCTCATCCTCCTCCAGGCCGGAGGCGGACTCTGGCCTAGTTCGCTGCCCAAGTTTTTGCCTGAGTCACGCCCATCCTGAGCTCCTTTTGTGTACCCGCGCTCGCAGGGACTCCGTTTCCACGGCTTCCCGGCACCTGGACCCGGGGCTAGAATCGCATCTCTGGATGGAACGCCTTCTGTCGCCTAAATTTAAAGTCCAAAATATCCCCCTGCTCCCACAGTAGTAGTTCCTTGAAAAGGCAAACTGAGGCTCCGGGGTGTGCTGACTCATTCCATGACTATGAGTAAGATGTCAGTCATAAGATTTGGAAGAACTTACAATGAAGTCATTAGGTTTGGTTTGGGATGTCCTGCCTCCACCACCACTTTCCCACCTCCTGCTAGGCCTTGATTATTTCAACCTTATTTTAAAACTCCGTTTAATTCCTAATGGTTGAGAGAGGGTTTCGCGCTGCTGTTTTTCCTGCTGTCGGCGTTTGAATCAAGCTTAAATTAAAGTTGTCTGTTTTTTGAATCCACATTCCACCTAAGTTTTTTCTTTCTTTAGTGCAGCAAATAAGTATCCTTAAATTATTCAACAGATATAAAGTACCTGCTATATGTCAGGCACTTTGTTAGGATTCAGTAGTGACAGAAAAGAGTGCAGGCAGGCAGACAGACAGAAAGAAGGAGGGAGGAAGGGAGGGAGGGAGGGAGGGAGGGAGGGAGGGAGGGAGGGAAGGAGGGAAGGAAGGAAGGAAGGAAGGAAGGAAGGAAGGAAGGAAGGAAGGAAGGAAGGAAGATGGTGCAGGCCTTGCGGCCCTCAGCACCCCGAGTTGGCAGCAGCAGCAGCCATATCTTCACAAGTCTGGTTCTGTGCTACAATTTTGGTGTTGGTCCTCTCTATGCTTGTTTTCCCAGCTTGGTTCTCCAGCCTCCCAAAGGGCCTTATTAATATGCTGTCATTAAATATATTATCTGCTTACATCAGCCAGAGTAGTCACCTCTTACTCCTCCCCAATTCCTGAAACCCTTTATTGTGCCCCCTGGGACATTTTGGAACTCACCATGCCCTCTGGAACTTCGGTTTATCATCAGTAAAATCTCTTTTCTATTTGCTTTCCCTTCTTGCTCTATCTGAAATCTGGTTCTACCCTGAGTCACCTGCTTCTGCTGTTCTCCCCTCCTGCACTTGTACCACTGGGCAGGGAATGGGGTAGATGTCCTTTTGAGTCCTCATCACTGCCAGATGCTCCCTGAAGATTCATAACCTTAATCTTGCCTCACCAGACTGGACTGTGCTCCACCTAACAACTCCATTACATTTCTCTCAGAAATGTAATGCTGCTCTCTCCTAATCTCTCAGAAGACTGCACAATAAATGTGTTTCTTCCCTCGGTTTCCAGTACTTTCCCCTGACTGCCGCTCTCAGCCAGTATCTTGGGTTTTTGTTTTACTGAGAACATTGAAGCAACCAATAAACTTCCACAAACTCTCACCCTTCTGTCGACACGCCTACTCGTACCTGTGACCATTTCTACTCCACCTTTTCTCTAGCTACACTGATCAGCTCCATCTGTTTCAGCCTATGGCCAACTCTTCTTCTAAGGCACTAGGTGTGGTACCCTTGAAGGCACCAGAACAATCCCTCCTCCCAAGTCATCATTTATCTACTCTACTCAATCGTCCATTTCACATGCCAACTGTAATGGACTGCATGTTTGTGCCTCCCTTTCCTATGTTGAAACCCTAGTCCCCATTGCGAAGATATTTGGAGATAGGGCCATAGATTGGCTGGCTTAAATTTATTTCTCACGGTTCTGGGAAAGTCCAAGATTCAGGTGCAGGCCAGGGAGGTTTCATCCTGAGGCCTTTTTTCTTGGCTTGTAGGTGGCCACCATCCTACTGTGTGCTCATGTGACCTCTTCTTTGTGTACACACAAGCAAGACAGCAAGGTCTCTGGTGTGCCTTCTTGTAAAAACACTAATCCCATCACAAGGAATCTACCCTTAAGACCCCAGCCCCACTAATTACAGCATCCTCACCTGCAGAATTTTCGCACACTGGGTAGCTACCTTTCTTCATTCCCTGTCCTAACCACCTCTCCCAGCCTCTGGACTTGAACCAGAGTCAGGACCCCACATGCCCCAAACTCTCACCCCTGCTTTCACGCTGACAAACTTGAGAGGAGACACAAAAACAACCCAAAGTACAAGATTCTACTAATTTTTGTCCACAATCTGGTAAAGATGCATAGAAATGGATTCTTGAGGTACTAGACCAATGACAGAAAATTGCTGTCAGTCTCTTTCTTAAAGTCCTCCAAGATTTTCTTTATATATTTGGGTGCTCCTATGTTGGGTGTGATTATGTTTACACAGGTTTTAGCCTCTTCTTAGACTACTCCCTTAAGTATTATGTAGTGACCTTCTTTGTCTCTTGTTATGGCCTTTGTTTTGAAGTCTGTTTTATCTGATGTAAGTATTGCTACCCCAGCTTTTTTTTAATGTCCATTTTCATGGAATACTTTTTTCCATCCTTTCACTCTCAGCCCGTGTAAATCTTTTGTTCTGAGATGGGTCTTTTGTAGACAGCATATATGCAGGTCATGTTTTCTTAACAGAACTCTCTGATCTGTGCGGCCACCAGCTTGCTTGCAAGCCAAGCTGGATGGGGCCCAGCAAACTCCTCACTGTGCAAATTTCTGATCTCCCTTCCTAGCTGAATTTAGTGGGAAAGGACCCAGAGATCCAGCATGGCTTGGCACAACTAAGGAAAGTTCAGAACAGATCAAAAAAGCAATTTTCCCATTCCAGTAGGTTCCTCTTTTAGTCTGAACTCATATTGTAAACTCTCCAGTCTGATGCCCAAACCACAGAAGCACTTCACACTGAATTGCAACCTCTGATTTTCACAGGTGTGATAGAACTTCAGCATATCCCACTGCCAGAGCCCCAACAGCCTCCCCTTCCCTCTCTATTGCTACAGGTATCCTTATAGCCCTGCAGCTCAAAGGGGAAGGAGCTCCACTGCTGCGCTTTCAATCTGGTCTCTGCTGGCAGGGCAGCTGCACGTGAGGTCCTTGTCTGCCACGTTTCAGTTCCTTTTTAAAAGTCTCTCTGCTATACCCATAGTGCTGTACTGAGTCAGTGTCTGAATCTCCACACATGCAACCTCTGCAAAGAATGAAACGTGTCTCATAGCCACGGCTGGCTGCAGCCTGCAGGTGCCTCTGACACAACCAGCTGCAGCAAGCTGGTCACTTTAGTAGTCTGAGCCCTTATCTGGAGCTCTCTGTGTTGGCACCTCAACTATAGGAGCACTGCTTGCTGTGTGGTCTGTGTAGCCTGGGTCTCGAAGGCTCCGTGGATCCTCCCAGGTTACTCCCAACTAGGGCTGGGGATCCCTGTGTGGAACTAAGGCCCCTGGCTCTGAGGGAGGAGGGGCCTCCAAAGCGGTGATTTCTGTCTGGTCTCTCAGCTGCAACAGCAGCCATGCACAGCGTATTTCCCCTTCCACTTATAAAATCCCCCTACAGGATGGTACGAAGCGCCTTCTGTACTCCTTGGCTTCAGAGCTTCATACCTACTAAGACTCCATGGACTGTTCAGTTTGGCTGTCAGAAGATCTGCTGAAAATCATGGTTAGGAGCAGGAGCAAGTGAACTCAGCTTCCAACTTGGCTGCCATCTTTGGAACTCCGGGCACAAATTTTTAGAACAGTGATGTGTAAGCAATTTTTTCAAAGTGTAGTTATGGAAAGTTGGGTGTGCTTGAATGTTAGGAACCAAAGAGTTAGATTTGGAGGAGCATCTCAGCATTTAAATTTCTTTTAAATATCTTGTGAACGTCCTCACCTTGAAACTGGCACAACCCACTTTCCACATAGAAGCTCAAACATCAGATCTTGCTTCCTCAGCCTTCCTTTTGTCTAGTTCTTGGGCACATGACTAATCACATGGATCTGTCCTGATCTTCACATTGGGGGCCAGTGACAGAAAGAAGCAGGGACAGAGAAGAATTAATTCTGGCAGCAGTGGTAGCAGCACGAATGGCTGGTGTCCAGGCACAGCAGTTATGGCAGCACCGGTGACAGTACAAGGCTTTGCAGCCAGCTCCGCAGCAGCAGAGGCCACCATGCAGGTGATGGCTTGTGATTTTGGCTCCAGTGTGGCTGATGTTTCCCTGTTCTCACCTGTGTCCCCAGCAGGCTCTCCAGCTTTCTAAGTACTTCTGTGAACTCCCCGTTGTCCTTGGATAAAATCACATGCTGCTTAAAGTTAATCAATAGGTTTTTATTTGCTTGTAACCAAGAACCCTGATTGACACAATCTATGGTCATTCTCTTTCTTTCCTCATTTCCCCCCCTTCGTTCCTTCCTTCCCTCGTCTTCCTGGCCCTTTGTTGTTGTTATAATTGTTCTGTTTTTTTTTAAATTTTTTAATTTCTCTTTAGAGGGGAAGGGAAGGAGAGAGGGAGAGAAATATCAATGTATGGTTGCCTCTCGTGGGCCCCCTGCTGGGAACTGGCCTAAGACCCAGGCATGTGCCCTGACTGGGAATCGAACTGCAATCCTCTGGTTCACAGGCCCTCGCTCCATCCACTGAGCTACACCAGCCAGGGTTAATTGTTCTATTTTATTAGTAGTAATTGTTACTAATCTCTTACAGGGCCCGATTCATAAGTTCAACTTTATCATAGGTGTTTGGTACTGTCTAGAGTTTTGGGTATGAACTGAGGTCTTGGCACATTTGCCTGTGAGTAAAGGGGGAACGACTGTAGTATTAGCCTCATTTTAGGGGTAACCTGAGATGTGGCCACTTGGCCAAGGTTAATCATAAAGAACCCAGATCTAAATGA